TAGACACCAGGGCCCACTTGCACAAAGCAATCTTAGCGCTAAGACTGTTGTAAGCCTATACTGAAGTATGGGAGTTACGATCATCTTAGCGCTAAGATCGCTTTTTGCAAGTGGGCCCAGGAATGCATTAGAGACCTGGAGTGCATTAGCCACCTGGAGTGCATTAGACTCTATGAACGAATTAGACACCTGGAGTACATTAGACATCAGGAATGCATTAAGGTTTACGGAGTGCATTGGACACCCTGAGTGCATTTGAGACCAGGAGTGCATTAGAGGCACGACATTCTCATCTGGAGTGTATTAGATACCTCGAGTACATTCGAGACCAGGAATGCATTCGACGCCAGGAGTGCATTTGAGGCATGGAGTGCATTAGACACCAGGAGTGCATTAGAGGCACAGAATGCATTATACACCAGGAATGCATAAGAGGCACGGAGTGCATTAGAAACCAGGAATGCATCAGACACCAGGAGTGTATTAGACACCTGAAATGCATTAGACACCAGGAGCGCATTAGACACCCAGTTTGCATAAGATACCTGAAATGCAATAGACACCTAGTGTGCATTAGACACCGGGAGTGCATTAGACACCTGGAATGCATTAGACACCAGGGGTGCATTAGACACCTAGAGTGCACTAGACACCTGGAATGCATTAGACACCCAGAGTGCATTAGTGACCAGTCGTCTATGAGAGACTTAGAGTGCATTAGACACCTGGAATGCATTAGAGACCAGGCGTCTAGAAGAGACCCATCTTATATAAGAGACCTGGCATCTTTTAGGAGCCCGCTATCTATTCACACTATTTGATTTGTTTATTCGTACAATTTCAGTGGGAACGCTAATGTCCTATTTAACGACGTTTCACTGTAAGTAAAAAGATAATATTTACATATAGCCCTCGCCACTTGAAACAGAATCACGAGATGTCGCGATTATTAATTAGGTAAATATAGCTGCTCTCAGTATCCCGGATTTAGCCACGTGTGCAAAACACAATGACGATTTTTTGTATCGCTAGCAAAATAGATATTAACATTATTCCAGTTATATCACGGCGTGTCAGCTTAACGTGGGAGGAAAGTGATGCAAATCTCAGACGTTTACCACTTCGGTGAAACCCACGAGCACGGATATGGTGCTGGCAAACCTAGAAACATAATCGGGGCGAACCGGGATTCGAACCTACAATCATAGGTTTCTGGATTGCCCAAGGGACGCAACTCTGCACAGCGAATCGCGGCGCCCTAGATGACTGGGCCACCCGTGCCCCCAGATATATTTCCAACATAATAACAAGTAAAAAAATCCTTGCAGGCACAAAGGCAAGGTCAAGAATAAGTTCATTATTATATATCAAATATTTCAAGAGTGCTTGTTATGTAATACACCTTGCACTGTTATTTATTTGTCAGAAACAAAAATATTCCTACCTTCAAGTACCTCTGAGAGTAAAAATATTTGAATTGGACGGCTTCCTACGCTTGGCTGATTGATACGGATTATTCGGTTTTCCCCCAGCCTGATATATTTAGAACCACGTAATGCAGACTGAAAGAAGAACGCAGGACCAATGACACAAATAGAACCACATGTGTGTTGTTTTGTAATGCATGCACTTTAAAATGGCCGCACCTCCACCCACCTAAAACAACTTTCCTTTACCCTTCATTATTCTGTCCCGCGTTCGCAGTCTATATTTGTTCCGTGGGCTGTGACAAAGCATGTCATCGATCGTTATTCAATGTCCCAGCTCCATAATCACATGCAAGTGTTATTGCTGACAATGACAAGTCTTGTTCCCTATTTTGCAACCGTTACGGAGACGAGGAAATGACGAACAATAGACGAAAAGACGATAAACAAATCTTACCGTCCATCTAGTTGTTTATTTAACGCCGCACTCAGTAATATTCTAGCCATATGACGGCCGCCTGTAATCGAGTCTGAGCCAGACAATGCAGTGATTGACACCATGGGCATCGATCCACGCATGTGGGTTACGATGACATGCATCAACCAAGTCAGCGAACCTGACCACCCGATCCCGTTAGTCGCCTCTTACTAAAATCATAGTTGCTTTTTACGGCAAGCATGGGTTTCTGAAGACCTATTTCACCCCGGACCTTCACGGGTCGGTGGCAGACGTAAGACTCCATGGCTAAACATGTGTCAAAATTATGCCCATTAAGTACTCTGGGGGTGGTTTGTTTGCTAAAATGATTTCATAGACTTTGGTTTGGTGGCCTTTTCTGGCTACACTAAACCTTAACAACCACGAGAAAATGTCTACCTTTTTTTAAGCCGAACTTGGAGGTTTTTTTTGTCATATGGGTCTCTATCACTGTGATATGGTGCTTGTCCATCACAACTAAACCCTTGTCTGGGAGAGTAGGAGGAAGCTCTTCTGTTACATATTCTGTAAATACCGTAGTCGCGTTCGTCGAGTAGATTTTGACCGAAAAAGACAATTGACAACCTGGTAAGAAACCTAAGTGAGACCATGCATGTAGAACAATAAGCCTCTCTCCTTTCCCTGGGGGTATCTGACGATTCTGACTTGTGTCAGAGCGCTGTCACTGATATGATGGCGTATGATTTGCATTTGTCCACGTGTCATCAAGATAAATAACTTTGTAGACCTCTTCTCTTTTCTCTGAAATGGGGCGTAAATGGTTTCCTCTCATATTTACCCAATTAGTCCTTTCACACAGTGATAGTTTTATGTCTGGCACACGTTTGTGCGGAAAACCAAACTTCACTAAATACTTACATAGTGTATATCTTGAAAGAGAAATATTGTTTGTCTTCATGTAGAATCTTGATAAAATGTTTGGATGACAAATTTCTGGGGAAATCTTTGAATAACGTTTCTCACTACTCTCACTACTTTGCTGCACATCTTGATTTTGAGACGGGTCCTGTGTCAACATATTTGAGGTATTGTCAGTGGCTTGATGGGGGAGATTATCCGGGTTGAACGTGGTATTTTCAATACTCTTAAAGTTCTCTCTGTAAACCCGGAAAGCGATAAAATATGAATACCTCTCTCGACTTCCTTGTCGAAGAATTAATACACACTTGTGATTATAATGCGTATTTTCTGTAATGTATGTTAACCATCGAGTCGGTTCCGTTTTCCAGTCATGCATATTCATTATTACACTTGTAAGGATGACCTCAGGCCATGCACCAGAATAACTTGCTTACATGACCTGTTAGACATTCCATCAGTTGCTACTGCACCCTGAATGTTGTCATCAAAACAATCGACACATTTTAATGATAGTCATAAAGACAACCTTTTTTACAAGTGTTCAAGAATGATTTAAAAAATGTTTCTATTACATTTCGATGTGTGTATATGTGATTACACGAATTTGAATTTCGTTTGAAGATAATTGAGAAAATGGTGTCCCACAAGTAAGGTTGACGGACAATACACGGACTAGGGTAATCGTCGCTGGTCAAGTGTCATGTTTTCAGATGTAATCAGTTATGGTGTGGGGTGGCATCACTATGACTGGACCGCCTCCGTGGTCTTGTGGTTAGAGCGTCCGCCCGGAGAGCGGAAGGTCCAGGGTTCGATCCCGGGCCGCGTCATACAAAAAGACGTTAAAAGATTGTACTTGTTGTTACCCTGTCTGGCGCTCGGCATTAAGGGGCTAAAACAAGGACTGGTCGGCTCGGAGTCAGTATACTGTGTCTGAGTGGGGTATTCATGTTAAACTGCGGCATGGTATCTCAGTGAGCTAGCACTATAAATCGGCATCAGTCCGGACTAGTACAAGCAGCCACACACACACATACACGTGCATGCACGTCGCTATATAAGTGCAATAATCTTGGACGCGACGTTAAACCCAATTTCACCTCACCTCACTATGACTGACCGAACCCCTCACCAAATTGTGCAAGGAAGGGTCACTGGACCACAGTACTATCGGGACAATATACTGACACCCGTTGTTGTCCCGTTTGTAAGAAGTCGACGTGTTGTCTTTCAACCGTCAATCGTCAATGCTCACCGTGCATGAATCGTCAATGCTCACCTCCAGCAGCACAAAATCCATAGACTGCCATAGCATTATCAAATTATCCAAGAATCCGTCTTGGTACCTCTAAACTGGTCATATGAACAACAAATACATTTACTTGAGTTCATTTACAGCTTTCATAACAGTGTGCGTTATTGCACGATTGGCTGTAGAGAGTTACGTCCCTTGGGCACGCCAGAAACCTATGATTGTGGGTTCGAATTCCGGTTCACCCCGAGGATATTTCTAGGTTTGTCAGTACCATACCCGTGCTCCTGGGTTTCACCGAAGTGGTAAACGTCGGAGACCTGTATCACTTCGGACTTTCCTCACACATTAAGCTGACACGCCGCGATATAACTGGAATGTTGTTAAAAGCGGCGTTAAATCCAACTCACTCACTCACTCACTATTGCATCTTAAACTCGTGCATTCATTGAACAAAGTGGTGTAAACCTACTAACACAAGCATATGGGTACCCAAGCTGTTACGTCTTTTAACACTAAGTACTGTGTGTTTCTGCATACCTTATTGTTTCGAACAATCACTATGTTGCTATCGACTATTCCAATTCGTTCATTGATATCAATGTCCATTGACACTAGGTGTTAAATTTTCTTAACATAATATTCAAGTTCAAGCCTGCCAAAACGGGTCACTTATTATTTGACTTGACAGGACTTCACCAATCTGTGTATGTATGCACGAAATTTGATATCAAGTTTTTGAAATGTGTGTTCGTGTGTTCGTGTGTTCGTGCGTGCGTGCGTGCGTGAGTGCGTGCGTGCGTACGTGCGTGCGTGCGTGCGTGCGTGCATGTGTGTCAATCTCCACCACTGCACTGCGGACACGTGTGGTTCGTGGCTACCAATCACAGCTTAAATGTGTGAGTGATGAAGCCTATTCCTGGTACGCCCCACACATTACGCAAAGACCACAACTACAAACTCGTCTGCGAAGTTTTATTATATTAGGATGATCAAAGGGATACACGTGATTTGTCTTTCATCATCGGGCTATGGTCCTGAAAAGGAATACGTTTATAATTAATCGCTTAGTAGACAGATAACTAGGTTCAATTCATGCCACTTTAAGATTGTGTTTGTTTTGATGTTTAACGTCGCACTCAGCAATATTCCAGCTATATGACGGAGGTCTGAAGATAATCGAGTCTGGACCAGACAATCCAGTGATTGACATCATGAGCATTGGTTCACGCAATTGGGATATGATGACATGCATTAACCACATCAGCGTGTCTGACCACCCGATCAGGTTAGTCGCCTCTTATGACAAGCATAGTCGCCTCTTACGGCAAGCATGGGTTGCTGAAGACTTGTTCTATCCCGGATCTTCACAGTCTCTACTTTCACATGATTACGTAGCATGGTTATAACCCAACTTAAACTAATTGCTACCTTTCCAATATTATTTAGTTTGGATGCAATCGTATATACGAACGTAGAATATATGTCCTACTTACATAGAGTGGCACACGATCTGTTACTCGACAGGCTTGCTGATACTACCGGAGGATCCGGCACTGTTGCCTGGAAACAAAACACTCAAAATTGACATTTCATAAGGTTACAAGAATGTCCATACCTATTGCAACTCTGAACGCCATGGTTGCCCCTTGAACATTCAAGAAATTAAACCCCATTTGTGAACACCATCAATGTTATTGACGCCATGACGTCATGGTGTGTTAGGTTGTCCCTTCGCCACGAATATGTTTCTAGGTTTCTAGGTTTTTCCGCACCAAACCCATGATAGTGGGTTTCATCAAATTGGTAAACGTCTGAGGCCTGCATCACTTCCTTCCACACAGACAAAAACAACAAGACAAGACCTGACACGCAATGATATAACGCAAATAATGTTCAAAGAGGTGTTAAAGCCAACTCACTCACTCTCTCACTCACTCACTCACTCACTCATCCACCTACCCACTCACTCACTCACCCACCCACTCACTCACTCACTCACTCACTCACTCACTCACTCACTCACTCACTCACTCACTCACTCACTGGTTGTACCTGAACTCCAAAGAGATAATAACCACCCACCTTAATAAGGTTTAAATGTTTTACGATCTCCTCATCTAAGGTTTGTTTGTGAAAGGGGCCCTGGATAGTTAGCATATATCTTTCTGTGAAACCCATGTTATTAACACTGCATATGTGTATCAAATAGAAAGCGTAAGTCGAACCTAACTGATCGTATTGTATTTCACGTTTTCGATTGAGACATCTTTACATACTATTTTTACAGCAAACAGTATCGACAAAAAAAGTATTTTCTATTTGTTACTGGAGTTAGGTTAACATACACTTATAAAAGTAATGGAAATTGAAAGATTGAAAGATGCAAAACATAGCTAGCACATTAGGCCAATAACGAATAACAATAATAAATATCAACATTCGTGGTGAAGACGTTATTTTAACAGTGTCACCTTTGTGGCCGACTTCATTGGCAGCCTCATAGAGATCTCTGGCGCTAACTAGCTCATCGTTCTCCATTTGGTCATTATTCGCATCTTCGTTCTCTATTGCTGAAAATTACAATGTCCGTATTATAGTGATGATAAAGGAAAATTAAATTTAATTAACTAATTATTAAATGGTCAATTGAGGCTTAAAGATGGCATGTATAATTCCCTCATTAATTAAAGCAACTACCACTCTTCCAGATTGTTCCAAGAATGACGAAGTTGCGTTTCTCTTCATCCAATCTTCACTCTTTCTTTCAAAAATATTATTATGGTTTCGAGTCCCGGTTTCCCCGAATGTGTTGATAGGTTTGTCAGCATCATGCCAGCGTTCGTGGATTTCACAAAATTGGTAAACGCCTGAGACGTACATCATTTCCATCACATGAAGCTGACACGCCCTGATATAGCTGAAATACTGTTGAAAGTGGCGTTAATCCCAACGAAAGGGGGCGGTCGGGTAGCCTAGTGGTTAAAGCGTTCGCTCGTCACGCCGAAGACCCGGGTTCGATTCCCGACATGGGTACAATGTGTGAAGCCCATTTCTGGTGTCCCCCGCCGTGATATTGCTGGAATATTGCTAAAAGCGGCGTACAACCATACTCACTCACTCACTCCAACGAAAGGTATACGTATGTACGCCCGTGGCCCAGATCACTCACTCACCCATATCAGCAATCGTGTACATCGCGGTGTGTACATTTCGCAAGTGTCCCATCACAGACTAAACGCCCACGCCTATCCTCTCGTTGGGAGATTCTGGGTTATAATTGATCCCCAGCAACCCATGCTTTTCGAACGACCAAATGAGTCACTTATTGCGTGTCACCGTACCCCAACAACATGAGATGGCGATCATAACAATCACTGAATTGTCTGGTGCAGGCCATAGGCTTAGAGGTGAGGTGAGGTTAAATGGGGTTTAACGTCGCTTCCAAGATTATTGCACTTATATAGCGACGTGCATGTACGTGTATGTGTTTGTGTGGCTGCTTGTACTAGTCCGGACTGATGCCGATTTAAAGTGCTAGCCCACTGACATACCATGCCGCAGTTTAACATGAATACCTTGGACGCGACGTTAAACCCCATTTCACCTCGACTCACCTCACCTCAACTAGGGGGCAGCGGGTGGCACAGTCATTTTAGGCGCCACAAACGGTTCTGGACAATTGCAATCGTTGGCGTTCCAGATCACCGTGTGTTCGAAGCCCGGAATCGCCTTTACCTGGGTGCTAAATGCACTACTTAGGAGTGTCCTCCAACATTAAGCGACACTCCGTGATATAACAGCAACACTTTTGTTAAACACAACTTACCAATAGAGTATTGTGGTGTTATTTGTCAATGTTATTCACAGTTATAGTTCCAAAAGGGTATACGAATTGGTTTTATATGATCAAATGTTACACCTAGAAATCACATCAAAAGCCGTCTTATTCGTAACTGATAAATAGCTGCAGTTTACCTCGCTTTCCAAGGTAGTACCGAAATCTCGATGTTACACCTTGACATCTTGACAGTGTCCTGGCCGCCCTGTAGATGCAGCTTGTGGTTCTCCTCCAGGACAGCCTGATCCTAAGGTTCCTGTAGTGGTGATAGTATAGGCGCAACCCATCAGCGTGGATTGCCAGGAGGCACACCAGCAGAGCCGCTACCAGAATCACCTTCATCACGTCTTACTGAGGGATAGAGGGTCGTATTGACACATCGGTGAAATCTGGCTGCGGTAACCGTATCTCTCAACAAACGATTTTGATTTTGACTTGTCGCGTCAAACAGAGCTACATGATGTTCCATACTGTTTCCTGACAGATTCCCGATTCGGAACACCGCGATAACAACCCTGCCATAATATACATGAATCTTAATCCCAAGAAAAATGCAACACAATTCGCTTCCTGAAACACTTGACTTCAAGTATGTGTATTTATATCAACGCCCATACAACTTTCTATGTAGGTATCGGTTTGGAATCACCGAGAGAGTACGGACTTTTGGCCGCCATCAATGAACCCAATGACAGATAAAAATCTTCACCGGTCCGATTCCAACTTGATAAGTATATATTGCGCTGCAGGATCTAAAACATTAGTGAGTGAGTGAGTGAGTTGGGTTTAACGCCGCTGTTTACAGTATTCCAGTTATATCGCGGCGTTAAAACATAAGTACTCGTATTTGAAGGTAAATGTCTAAGGAAGTGAATCATGTTGCATTTGTCGTGAGATCATGGGGGGGGGGGGGCGCGGCACGGGGAGGGGGGGCTCGTCTAAAGCTCCGCGATTCGCTGCGAAGAGTTGCGTCCCTTGGGAACGTCAGAAACCTATGATTGTGGGTTCGAATCCCGGTTCACCCCATTATGTTTCTAGGTTTGTCAGCACCATACCCGTGCTCGTGGGTTTCACCAAAGTGGTAAACGTCTGAGACCTGCATCACTTCGGGCTTTCCTCCCACATTAAGCTGACACGCCGCGATATAACTGGAATAATGTTAAAAGCGGCGTTAAACCTAACTCACTCACTCACGTGAGATCACGACGCATGCACTTTACTGAAGCATATAAAGTGTGGTGTAGATTTGGATTGGGGATATATTAGGAAAACACTAATGGACAGTCTGTAGTCCTGTGTAGCCTCGACAAGTCAAAATCAAAATCGTTTAATGGAAGCCGCACAGAGAAATGGTCACCGTAGCTATGGACCAGACGAACAACTCCGTATGTTTCTGTGCCGTCAATTTGGTCAATTATACTATACGCATACAGCGGACTCACTGACAATTTACTTCACATTTTCAGAGTTAAAGGAATAGTGTTACGCTTAAACGCTACAGTTCACATAGTTATCTTTAATAAACGAAATATGTTTGTCTAAAGTTTTGACCCCCAAGAAAAAAGACTACATTCTGAGCAGTGAATGAATTAGTGCGGATATTATTACTAAACAAAGGCGAAACTGATAAATTGCTTGGTACTATTTATTTAGCTGACATTTGTGGTGGTTCTTAGACTTCCACACGCATCGCTAATAACACATGTACAAGCCCAATTTAGAAGTTACTGGCATTTGGCTAGCGGACAAGCAGCTTTTCCGTGGAACACCTGCGTAATGTCATAGAAGGACATCAGCCACAAATGTTCAACCAACCAACGGAGATTAAATGACTCATTTAACAAAATGCTTTCTCCTTTACTCCTTTTTTCATGACCCGTAAGTTTGAAAATATTTTATGAATTTTCATGCCAATTCTTCCAAAGACGATTCCCGAGTTTGTTCACTATTTCATCATCCGGATAATTCCGAAGTTAAAGATAGTATATGCATGTAGGAAATAATAATATGATGGTAACTACTTCAAAAATACATAATTATATACTCCAACCTTTGAAGATAAACGGATGCAGATGGTGAACTATCTAAATTTATGTCAAGAATTATAATTACATATACAATATTTTGCTGGTGTGTCACACCACACTAAGAAAATGGAAGAAGACAAATATATTGTACACACATTTCTCGCTAAAGCAACAACATAATTAGTAAAACTCTGAAAACCTTTCTCAAAATCATTAATGCGATTTCTTTGTTTTACTGTAGTCGGTGATAAATCAGAACGACTATCCAAGCAATACAAATGTTGAACCACCAATGTTGACGTCGCCCATGGCGACAATAGTTGAATGGTATCAACAAGCATGGATCGTGTGGTGTTTAGGTGGCGAGGAGTAAGGGAGGAATATTGCTTTCACATCCTAAACGAGAGGGGCACTGGGTCTGAAACCCTTTTGTCCATTTAATATTAGAACAGTGATATAACAGGATATTTCCCCATCAGTATAACCACAAAGTAAATACGTCTTCAGCAACCCATTCTTGCCGTAAAAGGCAATACAAGTGAAATAATCTTGGACGCGACGTTAAACCCTATTTCACCACACCTAACCAGTGACGCCTTTTAACATTTGAACATGGTGGAGCAACTATTTCAGCGAGCCTCAACTCCCGGTCCATTTAGTCGCCTCTAACAAGCATAGGTTGCTGGAGATCTATTTTCTTACCCGGAATGGCCACGGGCTAACTCCACCAGTGAGTGGGGGTATATGTTCTTATAGCTACAGACCCGTGAAGATCCGGGGTAGAATAGATCTTCAGCAACCCATGCTTGCCGTGAAAGGCGACTATGCTTGTCGTCAGAGGCGACTAACGGGATCGGGTGGCCAGGCTCGCTGACTGGTTAATGCATGTCATTGATCCAAATTGCGTTGATCGATGATCATGATGTCATTCACTGGATTGTCTGGTCCAGACTCGATTATTTACAGACCACCGCCATATTGCTGAGTGCCGCGATAAACAACAAACAAACAAAGTCTTATAGCTACATTCGGATCAAACACAGACGTAGATTCAGATCAAACACAGACGTGAATTCAGATCAAACACAGACGTAGATTCAGAGCGATCAAACAGAAAGAATACTTACGTTGCAGTTGAATCTTTCTGCGAGGGTGATTTAGGAATATAAAGGTAGCCTTATATAGACAAACAGTGTTATAAAAATGTTCACACTTAAGTTTTGAATCCATACATTTAAAAGCTTTCACACTACACATCTGGTCCATGTGGGTGTGACAGCTTAAACGGTACTGTTTATTTCACAGGTACAACTGCTACCGGAACACCTGTTCGTCCCTTATCAGCGATGACATCGACGCCATACCTCGATATTCCATAAATCTAGTTGAGTTTAATAGGAATCATTGTCCAAAGTGCCGAAATCCATTTGCAGCTGAAAACCATCCCTAGCCCTGCAAATAATGTTATCTAGTTTGATAAAAAAATGACCAGTAAGCATATTTTATAAACAGGATGTATCAGGTTTCATTTGAGATGTATAAACCGCCCATGATAATAATATATTATAATATTGCGTCATAAAATAACATATGATTGTGGGTTCGAATCCCGGTTCGCCCCGATTATGTGTCTAGGTTTGTCAGCACCATACCCGTGCTCGTGGGTTTCATCGAAGTGGTAAACGTCTGAGACCTGCATCACTTCGGGCTTTCCTCCCACATTAAGCTGACACGCCGTGATATAACTGGAATACTGTTAAAAGCGGCGTAAAACCCAACTCACTCACTCACTCTTAAAATAAATCCACTTAATACATGTATGTTCTGGTTGACCATCGTCCATGTCAGACCCCCTGTAACATATCTCCAAGCAAAGATAAAGAAATACTACTGCCTTCAGTCTATGTTCTATATAGATTTTAAACAAGCTGTTGATTGACTTCAAATACCACAATTATTATGAAATGACAAACAATGTTATGGATAACAACTTATGGTTTATTGCATATAGCAAAAAGAGGAGAAGTGCAAATTACAAGTTTTGATGACCGCAATACGGGGAAACTCTGACCACTCCGTCATGATTTAAATCCTAAAGGATCTACATGTGGCAGTTCCCATCTGATAGAAATCAGTACTAATATATGTATCTCTGTCCCAATGGACATTAACAGTGTCTCCTATTACCGGGTAGTTTCCACATTGTTTGTTTGTTTTGTATATTATGTAACGCCGCACGCAGCAATATTCCAGCTATATGACCGCGGTCTGTGGTGGATTTTTCGTAAAAGATAGCTGAGATTCTTCCAGTCACGTTTCAAATTATACCTATGCTGGGAAACTTTTCTCACTTTCTACTTTAACGTAATTTAACTGAACAGACGTTGGTGATTTCTGCGTAAAAAGGTAATTGATTGAGGCCCTATTTGAGTTTTAAAGGACAATCACGCCGTTAGCGCGTGGTGGGTCATGGCGATAATCTAACCACGGCTGTCCATTATGTACGTTCCAGTGTTTGAATGACATATCGTTCTCAATATCCGTGATGTGGAAATAGATAGATGTTGTTTTATATTCAAGTTGTTTTTTCCGCTGTTCCAAGTGTGCATGGAGGGCGTCTTATCAACAGTAATTTCTGAGACGTAAAAGCGAAGTTTAATTAATTAAATCTACTGGCATTTGTCGCATTATTTGACTCTGGCGCTAATTTCAAGATTTACACTACATACTATTCAAAAGAAGTTAAAGAACACCCGATCTTTCATGTGACAATGCTTAATCAGAGAGGGGGGGGGGGGGGGGGGGGCGAGCGATAGAGCGAGAAAGCGATGGCCCCTCTCGGCCACCATAGTTGCTTGGGTCATCGAGCGTGCATAATCTCCTCTCAGTGATCTATCATCTCTCCACATAATGCCATTGGATATGCCCAGGGATGTTGGGAGTTTTCATTATTATTGTAAGAGAAACAAAATCCCGCGGTACATACTATGCTTATATTAAGAGGCGTCTAACGGGATCGGGTGGTCAGGCTCGCAGACTTGGTTGATGCGTGTAATCGTATCTCAATTACGTGGATCGATGCTCATGATGTCAATCACTAGATTGTCTGGTTCAGACTCGATTATTTACAGACCGCCGTCATATAGCTGGAATATTGCTGAGTGCGGCGTTAAACAGCCAACAAACAAAACAAATAAAACATTTTTAATCATCACCAGGAAAAGATAGTTTCTCCTGCACATGTGCAGAAACAAAGCCACCTTGTTGCCCTTTCTACAACCTTTGTTCCGGCAACGACCATGCGTGTCCGTTACGATCTGTAGGATAGAATAGCTCTATAAAAATCTGTCCATTTGCCTAACAGCAATACTTCAAATGAACCTGGGGTCTCGCAAGTTAGTAACCATTGACGTTAAACTTTGAATATTGTCACTTGGGGTTCCTTGAAAATACAAGTGGTACAATTATGGTGAAATCCCCAGCTGTTCAGAGTCAAGCAGGCTTTTGCAACATCGTCCGAAGTGATCAAGTTAAAATCAGTATCATTCATGAAAAATCACTGGATCATCTGGTCCAGACGCGATTCTGTACAGGCAGACGTCGCATGGCAAGAGTATCCCCAGATATAACATTTGTTACAATTGACCACCTTCTAAATGGCATTGTGTGTTCATAGCTTTCGGCCATGTGAGCTGTGCCAATTTACACTTGTCCGAGGGGTACACAAAGTGCCTGATCTGGACTACCAGTTATCGGACTCGTTGGCTGAGTGGGTTACTGGCAAGAGTGTGGGTTCGAATCCCGGATGGTACTCAACCACCTAAAGTACTAGAATTTGTACTTTACTAATAAAGTTCAATCCTAAATAACATATTTGTTACAAATCAATAGGTCGCCTAGTTTTTAGTGTTGTGTTTATAAATGTGTTGTTGCTGTATGACTAATAGTATTTCTATCACATAGGAAACGGAAGCTGACTATGAAAGTATATCTCAATACTGCGATAAGATCTGCGACCCAAAGATCACCCCCCACTTCCGTATCTCAATGAAACATTAAAAAAGAACAGAAATTATAAACTATAAATTACCACAATGAATTTCAAGAGGGATACGCGGGTCTTTCCAACATTTAGAACCTAAACACATTTAGCTGTTAAATACAATCCTAAACATGTCAAAATTATGGCACAAGGCTTAGGTTTGTGCATTCGTCACCTCTCGCCCCTTTCCGTTATCTTCAAGAAGACTCGTCCCCCTATCGATGAATGTTCTATGCGAAAATACGACAAACCAATCAGAATGCGTGTATGATTTCAAGTTCTTCGTCAAAGATTCCCTAAGAAATAACTTTTGATTTTACATTTGTCTTGCATCTTAAAATATACCCAAGACACAGTTAAATGTGTTCAATCAAACTGTATAACTCCGCATGTCCAGATGTGCTTTAAATCGCATCTGAAATATATATAATATATGGGGAAATATATGTGAACCATTACTCAACGAGTTGATAATTGTTTTAAGTATGCCCGTTTGCGCTAAGACGGAACCCGGTCGCAAAAATTCCCATGAGAGGGGCACGAGTCGCTATTCGGCTTGTCCCGGAATAACACGAGTTGATCACGAATGGGGTTTGTGTTAAGGATCTAAACACATCTGTACAGTGTGGACTAAGCACTAGAAACCCGGTATACATCCAAGCTAGTTTAAGCTGACACACGCTATATAAGGGCAATAATCTTGAGACCCGTGAAGATCCGGGGTAGAATAGGTCTTCAGCAACAAATGCTTGCCGTAAAAGGCAACTATGATTGTCGTAAGAGGCGACTAACGGGATCGGGTAATCAGGCTCGCTGTCTTTGTTGATACATGGCATCGTATCCAAAATGCGTGGATCGATGCGCATGATGTCAATCACTGGATTGTGTGGTCCAGACTCGATTATTTACAGACCGCCGTTATATAGCTGGAATATTGCTGAGTGTGGCGTTAAACAACAAACAAACAAAGCAACAATCTTGAACCGCATTTCACCTCACCTTAAACACGTCAGAATATAAGAATGACGAAAACAGTTTAAATTTTTTTATTGCATCATGATCAAATATATATGATCAACACACTGACTCCGGTACCTTCCCGCGTCTTCACCGCAATACCTGCAACAATAAAACAACAGAATTATATTAAAGTAAACACCAAAAAAAGTTGAGTCAGATGCCGCTTTGGGCAGTATTCAAGTATATCACGGCACAACAGATCGGACAGTCCAACGTGACGCAGGTCAGACACGGAACCACGTTGGTGAAACCCATGAGCACGTGTTTGGTAGCAGACCATGGTTAATAATCGGAGCGAAGTTGACATAAGACCCTTCGATCAGCGGATCCTTGCGGCACCTTAGAGTGAGTATGGTTTTACGCCGCTTCTAGCAATATTCCAGCAATATCATGGCGGAGGACACCAGAAACGGGCTTCACACGGGAATCGAACCCGGGTCTTCGGCGTGACGAGCTAACACTTTAACCACTAGGCTACCCGACCGCCCCCGCGGCACCTGAGACTACTGGGCCATCGGTGCCCGGCGTTAAAATGAAAAACCCCGGAGATATGACATTAACATTATTAGTTATTTTTTAAATGGTCACACAATGATATTCAATCGACATCCTTTTCAACAATAATAAGAAGACACATTAGATTTATTCAAACACTCATTCAAAAACACGCTTATATTTATCACATTGTACCAAAGAATGTACTCTCGCGCCTATCGTCTTATGCTGATTTTTCATAGAATACATACGGACGTACATTTCCGAACATCAGTGAGTATTTAAACCGTATAAATGATAGTGTTATGCCCAAATATGTTTCATTAATTCGTTTTTAAATCTTCGTATTCATGACTAATTGTGTAGATCTCAACTTGTTCTCGTCGTTTTCTAAAATAATGCTGTTGCGACGTTAAATTTTAACTTCAGTGAGTGAGTGAGTTGGGTTTAACCCCGCTTTAAATAGTATTCCAGGTATATTACGCAGTGTCAGTTTAGTGTGGGAGAAAAGCCCGAAGTGATGCAGGTCTTAGACGTTTACCACTTTCGTGAAACCAACGAGCACGGGTATGGTGCTGACAAACCTAGAAACATAATCGAGGGCAACCGGGATTCGAAACCACAATTCTGGCGTTCACAAGGGACACAACTCTGCACAGCGAATTGCGGCGCCTTTGTCAGCTGTGCCACCCTTGCGCCTTCATCAAGTATGCCGGACAGCCAATCTGGGAAAGTCAAGTGTAAGCAGTGTAGCTTGTCGCAGTTATGAAAACACAGACATACTCACCATCGTCTTCGACATCAGCCAAATTCATCAACTTGTCTCCACCTCTGACTTTGAATAAAACCTGTGATTGGATAGTATGCCCTGGGCAATTCCAAGATTGTCCAGATCTGAAACACACAATGAACGGATAACCTATTGTGACAACCCGGCCTTTGATCTCGCCTTCGTCAATGGTGTAATTGCCATAAAATGTGGAGAAGAACATTGTTAAGGTATTTACCTCTTCCTTCCAACTTAGTCGTACTTCTTATCCATCTCCTCTTCATTCGCATCCACCCACTCCCCACCAGCATCATCCTCCTTCTCTTCCTCCCCACACCACACCGTCGTACCTCCAGAAACACGAGGTCCACCAACACCATCAGCAACAGCAGAAGCAGAAGCAGTTTCATGACACCGCTGTGATGAACAAGGTCTAAAGCGAAGCGTAAATCTCGTGGTCTATATTATTTATAAAATATGAAATATGAAAAGAGAAATGAATGAAACACATTTTAAACACAAGCAGATCGATGCCCCCGAGTGAGTGAGTGAGTATGGTTTTACGCCGCTTTTAGCAATATTCCAGCAATATCACGGCGGAGGACACCAGAAATAGGCTTCACACATTGTACCCATGTCGGGAATCGAACCCGGGTCTTTGGCGTGACGAGCGAACGCTTTAACCACTAGGCTACCCGACCGCCCCGATGCCCCTGAAAAAAAGTCAGATTATTTCATGAGGACAAACCACTTCGTTGATTGTTATTTCAAATTTCAAAATAGAAAACAAATCTTTGAAATATACACTTTTTAAATAAATTTAAGAAATAGATAAATACTACGACTTCAAGAAAAATATTATATACATTTTATGTTCATGCCTGCCGATTTAAAATAACAAATTTCGAAAATTCTTATTATATTTTATTATTACGATCAAATATATGGAGAGTTTAATATCAAAAGTATGCAGCATCCGTTATTTCAAACAGGTATATGCATTCAAAAGAAAAGATGCTCTCCTGATCAAAGGTCAAAATAATCTCTTGGCCGAAAGTCAAAATAATATCTTTGTCAACAGTAAATAACTAGTACCATACTCACAATATGTCTGTTCCTTTATGGAATATGTGTTTCAGTATAGTGTCGCGAACTAGTCACGGTAACGATCAATACTCCCTGTTGTTATGAACAAAGCATGGACTGCTTCTGCTATCGTCGTCATATCATCCTACAACAATTCAACGTGTAAACCCCATTTGTGATAAACATATGCTCCATTTGACAAGAAGTGACAGGGGCTTGGTTGTAAACCTTCAAACGGAGCAGAACAGTACTGAGTATTATTTAGGAGATAAACATTTTGCTTATTCAATGTAGAGCTAGGGTACCTGTTAACGCGCTAAATTGAGTTTGGAACCGAACGCGCAGCGCTAAAGTTAACTTTTGTAACCCAGCTCTACATTTAAAACACAGTGTGTTCATCTCCGTTCTACCATGACTAAATAAAACGCGAACTTTTTGGTATTAGCAATTTAAATATTGTGTGTGTGTGTGTGCGTGCGTGCGTGTGTGTGTGTGTGTGATAACTGGCATTGCTTATCTAAATTTCAGGAATGACTATTTTGTTTGGGTTCATTGAAGTATGAATAGAGTTAAAAACGGAGTCCATGCGGTATGAATTCGTATTATTAAATCACACAAGAGCAGCAAATATGTCATCAACAACAGTGTTTAATGACAAATAGGATTTAAACATATACATGCGTGTGATAAGATCGATAAACATTCCACATTGACAGGTTACGGAAAGGGGCGAGTGGTGACGAATGGGCGCTGGCTTGACGAAAACAACCGAACGTGAGATCGGTTCCATGGGCGTGAATCTCCTTCCCATGCAGGGTATGGCACCTAAGTTATCATCGCGAGATCCACGGACGATTGTCCTTGTGGGGAGCTTGATACAGCAATTTGGGCTCATCTACATGTACCTCATCTCAATATCGGCTGTCTGGATAGATCTCTCTGAACGTTTGAAAAAAGACATTTTAAAATGATGTTAAATGACAGAAAACTATTATTCTTCCATTAACTAACCTTTTCATTTTCGAGTTAAGCTAAATACATGGAGAAAGTAGACATTTCCAAGTATTTGAGAAACATTATGAGCAACTTTCAAGGCCTAATTTTTCACCGATTTATCAATACATGTAGTAGAAAACAACATCTCTATAAATATAACCTTCGGTCAAGGACGTACTAATATTGAAAAAATGTACATATTGTTTTTCAAAAGCCTCATAAACAGACCATTTCAGCTCATTTAGTCTTTGATTTGACACCATTAGTTTTAAACTAAAATGTTCAAAAAAAAGTTTTAACTGCCTGTCAAATAAGCTCTCCGAGATTTGCAGGATTTGTTTCTTCTTCTTTCATAACGGAAAATTGGCGAGTAAGAACCCTTTTATATGCCCCATAAAACCCAATGTACCCCAAGTGATCCTGCTACAACAAATGTATCTTACCGACATGTTTTAATATGACATTGTAAAATAATTTCAACAAATTCAAAAATGATAGAAAACAGCTGTTCGATTGAGCTGAGTTTAGCTTGCGCTATGTGGGATTTATTCTGTCTCCCAGACATCCACGTGAAGCCTGATTTGCTCGTGGCGGGGTATAAGAGATTTTTTCCTCCGCTGAGAAATTTACCCCCCCCCCCCCCCCCATAAGGAATTTAAAAAAATATTAAAAAAATATATTTACACACACACACACACACACACACACACACACACACACACACACACACAAGGCGTGTAAGACAGTATTTTATCAAGATCACGAGGACCATTCAGATCTCATCATTCTCAAATGGAGGTATTTTACGCTGTCCTTAATGCGGGAATGAAATAATCAGTGGACAATAAAGTGTATTTTCTTTCAAAGGCACTGACTGTTATTGATTAAATATCCCATGCAGACAGGGGACATGGGTGTCCAAAGTTCATTCAAAATTGCTCATTCTATTTACTGAGAAAGAGCGTTACCTGCGCAGCCTGATCGCTGCGTTAACCTCGGTGGTAGTCGAAGGGAGATAACCCGCGTTCTCTCTCATTACACTTCAGGGGGTATAACAGACGACATGAACCGGATTAATGTGATATCATATCAAGCTCAGTACACATAGATAAATCTGAGAGAAAATGTGTGTACAGCTGATTGCTATTTCTGGCTTAGTATTTTTTTTATTGAATGTGAAGGCCTTCTACACAAAAATGAAACAGTATTCACTTGTGGTGTTTTAGTAAACTGCTGTCAAAAGAAAGTACATATACGCCCATGTTTGATAGTGGCTAAAAAATGAAACAAACAAGGGTTTAACGCCGCTTTCAACAGTATTCCAGTTATATCACGTGGGAGGTAATCCCGAAGTGAATCAGGTCTGTGACGTTTACCACTTCGGTGAAACCCACGAGCAAACAAACAAACCTAGAAACATAACCGGGGTGAACCGGGATTCGAACCCACAATCATAGGTTTCTGGCGTGCTCAAGGGACGCAACTCTGCACAGCGAATCGCGGCGCCTCAGACGACTGGGCCACCCGTGCCCCCTGTGTATAAATGTGTTGTTGCTGTATAGCTAATAAAGAACTTTGAGGTACGGAAGGGAAAGCTACGCGTAGAGAGTGATTGTGAGGGTTTGTGAAAGTTGTTGAAATGTGACAACATTGAGAAATAACAGAGATTGGATTATAAATGTAAAAATACACGAGAGATGTCCTGTTCTGAGGTGCTGGAGTGAGGGACTGAGTATTATTTTACGCCGCTTTAGCAAATATTCGAGCCATATCATGAGGAGCAACGCCCCAAATGAGCTCTACACATTGTACGCATGTGCGTATCGCAGAGGGGTCTACGGCGTTACGAGCGAACAGCTAATTTACAGTCACAATGCTAGTTCACAGAAGGCTCTATAGCAGTAGCAACGCCTCGGAGCACAGTAAATGTGCATAAGTGAAATTCGTCACCACTCGAATCTTTCCTTAACGTGCAAGAGCTTGTCCCGGAGTGGCACGAGTTGGACACGAATGCATGAATGAGAGACTTGGGTTTATCGCCGCCTTCAGCATTATTTAAGTCATATCACGGCCCGGGGTACCAAGAATGGGCTTCACACAGTGTAACCATATGGAGAATCGAACCCTAATCTTCCAACGAACCAAGGCGTTGTCCAATAGGTTTGCATCCAACCTTCCCAATGCCCCCGCTCCAATTTAATTTTGGCTTCGTCTTTTCAGACTTCATATAAGCAAATGTCATGTCAGATTTTAGGCGTTGTATATTTCACGCAGGTGTTCGTCAGCACTGTCACGTGATGTCGTAGTTGCGAGTTAAACCAATCAGGACACACTTCCGTTGCACAAGGTTTTGATGCGCGTTAATTCAGACCCAGTGGATGGAAGCAGACGTGGCGCATATTCAAGAACTACACCCCTGTGTCAGATTAATTTCAACAAGCTGGTGAGATTTCATTTATAGCCGAGATGAACATGAACGTAGAACTCACTATTGATGTTTCTACCATTTACACCCTAAAAATGAACGTTTTTGTGTGGAAATGCTGATTTGTGAAACGCTTTTGAGCGTGATTCTTCATTTCTTGCCCTGAACGTTGAAAATAATGATAAGGTAAGTGCAAGAATATGTAAACAAACAATCTATTTGCGGCCATGACGTATACAACGATCATAATTTTACTAGTCCGGACTAATGACGAGGATGTTATAGTGCTAGTTCACTGAGATACCATGCCGCAATTTTTAATTTTAAAAATGCCCCACTCAGACACAGTATACTGACTCCCAGCCGACCAGTCCTTGTTTAAGCCCTTTAATTCCGAGCGCCAGGCCCGGTAGCAATAAGTACCCTATTTTCACGTATTTTGGTATGACGCGGCAGGGGATCGAAGCCCGTACCTTCCGCTCTTCGGGCGGACGTTATACCACGAGACCATGGAGGCGGTCTTCACATATGGAGACATATGTATTAGTTAGTACTCCAGGGGCCTGTTCCACAAAGCGATCTTAGAGCTACATGTAGGATTGTCGTACGCCTGTGTGAAAGTATGGGAGTTACGATCATCTTAGCGCTAAGATCGCTTTGTGGAACGGACCCCTGGTGTCATTTCGACGGTGTTTCGATAGAGTTACTCGACAAGTTGTTTCGAACGAAAAAACACTTTGCCCTGACTTTTTAATTCAGAACAGATATTCAGACAATTTCGTGAATCTTCTCCCCGGGGCGTGTGACGTGCAACTACATTCATCATGTTCTTACATTAGTACACACCATAAACTTTCCTGTCCATGCCAAAAAACAACGCTCCTAATTCTACAAATTATCACGGTATGGCTAGTCTCTTTGTTTATGTTCTAATCAAACCATTCATCGTTAAACAGTAGTTGTACGTGTGCCTAGACGACCAAGGTGCCTGGACATGGGTTACACACTGTAGCTACCCGTGGTCACGTGGGCTCCATTCTGAGAAAGCCATGTTATGCTGGACTTTCCCTGTGAAGAATGTGGTCAGTAGATATAGGGGTGTATTTTGCTGGTCAGAATGTTCCGAGTAGTGGGGAAAGTATAACCTTCCGCATTCATGGTGAAGTGTACGAATGAGTTGCGGGTGCTGTCCACACCCAATGATACCCCAGTTACCGTAGAAAGGCAGTTGTAGTGTCAGCTGAGGTCGTCTGGAAGCCTGATCTTTGTGTTGCTATATCCGCATAGCTCTTTCTTCTTTACTTTGCTAAATAGTCAATACAAGGACGGTGAAACATCGTTTACTTGACCTTTCTTAACCCACAGTATCGTCTAAGACGCGGAACCAGAAACCGTTTGACAAAATAATATCTAATATCGGTTGACCAGCTGGACGCTGATGCGTTCCGATTCTCAAATAACGTTCTGCGTACCCCTTCCAGCATGTGCATAGTGATATAAAAAGATCTGCGTTCGCGTAATTATGGGTAATACGCAAGATTCAGTTACTGTTTAATACAGTCATGCACAGGTCTCATTTCCTGGTTATCATACTGACGGACATGTACGTGTCTCATTTCCTGGTTATCATCAAGTTGACGGACATGTACGTGTCTCATTTCCTGGTTATCATCATATTGACGGACATGTACGTGTCTCATTTCCTGGTTATCAACATATTGACGGACATGTACGTGTCTCATTTCCTGGTTATCATAATACTGACGGACATGTACGTGTCTCATTTCCTGGTTATCACCATATTGACGGACATGTACGTGTCTCATTTCCTGGTTATCATCATATTGACTGAAATGTTCGTGTCTCATTTCCTGGTTATCATCATACTGACGGACATCTACGTGTCTCATTTCCTGGTTATCATCCTATTGACGGACATGTTCTCGTCTCATTTCCTGGTTATCATCATACTGACGGACATCTACGTGTCTCATTTCCT